TTTTTTCTGTGTGTGCCAGATATGGAACCCAGGGGGTGATTAACCACTGAGTCATATCCCCAGCCCTTTTTATTTTGAGAAAGGTGTTAGATAGAATTTGATATAGGCCATGCCATTTTGAAACATATCCTCCATCATTTTTTTTGGGGGGGGGGGGCCAGGGATTGAACATGGGGGCACTCAATCACTGAGCCACATCCCTAGCCCTACTTTGTGTTTTATTTAGAGACAAGGTCTCACTAAGTTGCTTAGCACCTCGCTTTTGCTGAGGCTGGCTTTGAACTTGCCTCAGCCTCCCAAACCACTGAGATTACAGGTGTGCGCCACCATACCTGGCCATATTAAAACCAGGTCCACTCTGACTCAGCCAGACCTAAACCCTAGACAATACTCCATCATCATGCAAAGAAACCCCAAAACACTCCATCATCATAAGAAAGGAAATTGTTGGGCTCGTGTTGAAGCTCAGTGGTAGAGCTCTTGCCTAGCATATGTGAAACACTGGGTTCTATCCGCAGCACCACATTAAAAATAAGTAAGTTGGGCTGGGGATGTGGCTCAAGCAGTAGCGCGCTTGCTTGGCATGTGCGGGGTGCTGGGTTCGATCCTCAGCACCACATAAAAATAAAATAAAATAAAATAAAGATGTTGTGTCCACCGAAAACTAAAAAATAAATATTAAAAAAATTCTAAAATTCTCTCTGTCTCTCTTTCTTTAAAATAAATAAATAAATGAATAAATAAATAAAGATAAAATAAATATTGTGTCCATCTACAACTTTAAAAAAAAAAAAAGGAAATTGTTATGTGGGACTGAAATCCTAAAAACACATAGGGCCTTATGAAGGTGACACCACAAGGACCCTTCCCTGACAATCCCTAAGTAATGGCCTAATTCCCCCCCTTCCTCATTCCCCTATATCTACCCCAGGCTGTAAGCAGGAAGACAGGCTTCAGTCTCCACTGGGCCGCCCTCTGTAGGTTTGTCCTGGATAAACTTGTGTTACTATTGAGCCACCTCTCCTCTGTTTATTTCCTTCACTCACATCTTTCTTCACAAGGATCTGGCTAAGCTGATTAGGTCCTAGCTAAATTGCTGAGCCTGGCCTTGTACTTGACATCTTTCTGGCTCAGCCTCCCAAACCGCTGTGATTACAGGTGTGCACCCCTATGCCAAACTACTACTACTACTGATACTACTACTTCTTCTTTTTTCAATATTTTTTTCAGCTGTAGATGGACACAATATCTTTATTTTTATTTATTTTTATGTGGTGCTGAGGATCAAATCCAGAGCCTCGTGCATGTGAGGCAAGTGCTTTGCCACTGAGCTACAGCCCCAGCCCACTATGGCCAACTTCTGATGCCTGTTTCTTTTTGGTGAACTAAAGGAATCTTCTGAACCCTTTCACTCATTCTAGGTCTTTTTCATCTTCTTTCTCATGACTTAATCTTACTTTTCAGTCTACCAATTAACCTTGCCTAACAACTTCGTCTTAAGACATGTTCCAGTTCATGAGTTTGGTTTTTCTCCTGGCTGTATTTCACTTCCCATTTTAACACCAGTATACCCATCTTATATCCTGGTAATGTTCTTCATCTAACTCCTCTCCAGGTACCTTCCTTTCTGTGTATCAGCCATACAGGTGAGATCAGGGCAGAGGACAGGTAGCTGATTGTCAAAGAAAAGGGATAGCACCCTCCTTCACCCAGTTGCTAAAAGTGCAGGGGGAGGGGAAGGATCACATTTTCCAACACAAGAAATCACCCTTGGATGGTTCTCTTCCTGCTCTTTTGGTTTCTTTTGGTCAGGTAGGCAGGATGGGAGGAAACCTGAAATCTATAAAAGGGGAAAGTCACCCCCATTCCCTCAGGCACCAGCTCTGGACCCCCTCCTCTCTGGAGGAATCTCTCTTTCTTCCTCTCTCTGTTCTGTTTCTTAAATAAAATTTACTTTTTGTCGTGCCTCAATGTTTCTAGGCTGTTTAATCTTCAACACCAGGAGAACAAGAACGAGATCCTGATTTTCAAGACGGGTTTCACAGGGACTCTCTCCTTCCCCTGTACCTTATTTATCACCACCGACCCCCCATGCAAGGGATCAAAGCCAGGGTCTCACCCATGCTAGGCCAGTGCTCCACCATTAAACCACCCTCCCAGGCTTAACCTAGCTTGTTGGTTGAAAATATAAAGAGGTAAGTTTCAAAATGTCATGGTAACAGAGATGAAAGAAGACATGAAAGTGGGGGCGAAGGGTATGGGGGGGAGGCTCACTTTGGTGGGTCTCTGGGCTGTCATGGTGTATTTTCTGCTGCAACTACTCCATGGTGAAATGAATGTGCGTACCGTACCTCCCATTCTGTCTCCTGTGCTCCAAGACAGAGACCACGCTATTTAACCCCATGATTATCTGCTATCTGTCCTTTGGCTTCCACAAAATTTTTCTTTCTTCCCGACCTACTCCTCAGTTTCCTTGAGTAGTTTGCTGGACAATTTCTCCCTTCTCTCTCTTTTCCTCCTCAACCATGTTTTACTCTCCTGGGCCTGATCATCTTATTAAATACACCTTATGGACATCTTATTTTTTCTCATGGCCTCAAATATCACTGCATGCCAATGATTTCTAAATCAGGATCTTCCTCCTTGAGCTCCTCTGCATTTCATTCTAGACTCTGCATGTCTCAGGTGGGATCAGAATTCAGGATTTACTACCAAGCTAGAACTAAAATGTTGCTCTTTCTTTTTATTTATTTTGGTACCAGGATTGAATTTAGGGGCACGTAACCACTGAGTCACATCTGCAGTCCTTTATATTTTTTTTGTTTTGAGACAGGGTCTCACTAAATTGCTGAGGCTGGCATTGAACTTGCAATCCTCCTGCCTTGGCCTCCCAAGTAGCCAGGATTACAGGCATGATTTAAGATCCCCCCTGCCACAATACCTTTATTCTATTTATTTATTTTTAAGTGGTGCTGAGGATCAAATCCAGGGCCTCACGTGTGCTAGGCAAGTGCTCTACCACTGAGCTATAGCCCCAGCCTCCAACTGTGTCTTTTGAACTATTCTGTTTTCTTCCCTTGTTTTTAACTCTTCCTTGAACTGTCGCTCAGTACATTTTGGCTCAGTTTTCATGTCATCTTGGCTTCCTTTAGCATTCGTTGCATTAAAATAAACAAAACTAGCCGGTGGTGGTTCATACCTGTAATGCCAGGGGCTTGGGAGGCTGAGGCAGAAGGATCTTGAGCTCAAAGCTAGCCCCAGCAATTTAGTGAAGTCCTAAGCAACTCAGCAAGACCCTTTTTTTTTTTTTAAATTTACTTTTATATTTTATTTTTAGGTGGACACAATATCTTTATTTTTTATTTTTATGTGGTGCTGAGGATCGAACCCAGTGCCTCATGCATTCTAGGTGAGCGCTCTACCACTGAGCCCCAGCCCCAGACCTGTCTTTAAAAAAGGGCTGAGCATGTGTCTCAGTGGTTAAGTCCCTGGGTTCAATCCCTGGTATAAATAAATAATTAAATATTAAAAACAAACGAATTCTTATACTGCCCCAGAGGTGCCATTTTATTATTTAATTATTAATTCTAAGCCTATTTGTTTGTGTCTATGGGGACAAGAGTATGGGTGGAGTGGTGAGGAGTCTGTGTTGGAAAGTAAAAGATCTCTAACCCGAGAAATTGGAAAGTGCAAACAATTCTGGAAGTCGAGGGACTAATTCCACTCACTTTCCCCAAATTATCTGGAATTTCTTTGGGTATTTATCCTGAAAATGGTGTAAGGAAATGCAGACAAAATTTAAGCCAGAACTAAGAAAAGTTAGACCCTAAAGACAAAAATTTTAAAAAATCATTCTTATTGTCGGGCACGGTGGTGCATGCTTGTAATCCCAGTGGCTCTGGAGGCTGAGGCAGGAGGATTGCAACTTCAAAGCCAGCCTCAGCAAGGGTGAGGCACTAAGCAACTCAGTGAGACCCTGTCTCTAAATAAAATACAAAATAGGGCTGGGGATGTGGCTCAGTGGTCGAGTGCCCCTGAGTTCAATCCCTGGGACCCCCCCCCCCCCCCCCCCCCACACAAATCATTCTTAGCCTACTGTTAATATCCCAAATAGGTAGACTTATAAAACACACTTTATCTACAGATTTCCATGGAAACTGGTGTACCAAAGGGAAATTAGAAAGGAGAGAAATTGTTGTGCTGATTCTACGCAAATTAATGTCTGATTTTCATTAGGTTAGCGCTGTTCTTCCTCCAAGGTCTAAGCGTTTATTACCAGCAACAAGCACCTCAGTAACAATTCATCCAGGATACTTTTATTTAAAGGATCCTGACTTATAGGCTTCACTCAACTTCTCTCAATATTGTTTACTCTTCCATGGTGGAAGTTAAAATATCTTTATCCTAGCTCTGGTTCCACACTGCGGAAGGCCTCGGTCCCCTCTTAGTGAGAAGCCCGTCCCCAGCAGGGGTGCCACGGAGACCGGCTTCTAACGTGATGTGCGCGTTGCCCTACACCTTGGCCGCAGCAGGGGCTGCGCTTCAAAACCGCCAAGAATCAGTGCGTGCCGCCCGCTGGATCGTCAGTTTCGCAACTTGGGCATGCCTGCTCCCACCCTTTAATACTGAAACCGGCGGAAGAACACAAAAACAAAAACAATAACAAAACCGACCCTAAAAGCGAAAAACAAACCCAACAGACATCAAAACCGCACAAATGCCTAGGGAAAGCGCGCCAACCACACAAAGAAAAGGAGGGGGGCTGCTGGGATTCAAAATCGTTTCGCTGAGACGTATCGGAGTTAACTGCGCGCTTGGTCGTAGCCAATAGACGCAGAGTTTCTGGTCCAGGTCCTCCCTGAAGACTGATGGACATTTAGCTAGCCCAATGCAATAGGGTGACGCTAAAGAACCAACCAATACGTTCGGAAGGTGGGTGGAGTGTAGGCCAGGGGGTTGGCGGTGCCGTGTCATGGAGGCTCAGTCTCTGAGCAGCCATTGAAGGGGAAGGAACTGCTGGTGTGTGTGTGTGTGTGTGTGTGTGCGCGCGCGTGTGTGTGTGCGTGCGTGTGTGTGCGCGCGCGGGTGTGTGGACAAGGAGGTGGGGGCAGCCGAGTTAGAGTCCCAACTCCTTGGACTCCATTTGCTATTCTTTTCTTTCTCCCCCACATCTATCTGGTGGTAGTGGGCGTTTAAATTTGCGTTTCTTTTCATTCATTTCCAAATCTTTTAAAAATTTCAGGGTTGGGGGGTAGTGGGAAGAGCAGGAAAGGGGAAAGGAGGAGAGTAGGAGCAGAAGAGCAGGAGGAGGACATGGAGATGAAGAAGAGGATTAACATGGAGTTAAGGAACCGAGCCCCGGAGGAGGTGAGATGACTCAGCCCCCACCCCTTCCCCACTGCCCCCGTATCCTGGGGGTTGGATTTCTGGGTGCTGAGGGTGGGTGGGGAGAGCTAACAGATCAGTCTCCACCGGGGGTCCAGGTTGGTGGAAATGTTTAATTTTGTTTAAAATCATTAGGATTTTCTACTTAAAATGGCGAAGGGCTTAAGTTTCTAGGGGCGTATGTGTGCGCGCGGGGGCTCAGCCCCTTTCTGCGCTCCTGGCGTCGGGCGTCCCGGCCTCGCGGGGGCGGGAAGAGCGCGCGGGGCCCTCGGCTGCCGCGCGGGGCGCGTTCCTCCCGGGGCCGGCGGCGCGCGCGACCCCCGGTCCGCTCGGCCCCTGCGCAGCGGTGGCCGCCTGCGAACTTGGTCCAACTTTTCTGCAGTACTGCCAACTAGGGCTTTTGGGGGGTGGGCGCCCCGGCCTCTAGGCCTCGGGGCGTCGGGCGTCGCGCCGGCCCTGGCGGAGGTCGGTGGCGGAGTCCGCTCCCCCGCTCCGGGGCGCCCACTCCCCCGGGAAGCGGCGCGCGCCGACCGCCGCCGGCGGAATCTGGGTCAGCGGCGACTTCGGACCGCGGGTGGGTACGGGGAGCTGTCGCGATGACCGGCGGTGGGGAGGGACGCGAGCGTGACCCGCTTCTGCCGCCGCCGTGTAAGTGTCCAGCTGGTCTGAACTTGATTCCCGCCGACGGCTTGGACCTCGGCGGAGGGTCTGCGTAGCCTGCGCCCTGGAGGCTCGGCGAGGCTAGCGCGGCGCCCTCGCCGCGGTCGCCCGAGTTAAAGAGCCGGCGTGGGGAGGGGCCACGCGAGGCGGGGTCGCGGCCAACTTTCCCGGGGCCGGGCGGGGGCGTCGCGGGGCCCCGCGCGGCCCTCCCCGCCGGCGGCGGAGCGCGGGCACCGGGGTAGCGACCCTTGTCTTCCTGGGGGAGTCCCCGCCCGGCGTGGGGTTCCTGTCGGTCCCGCGCATTTCTCTGGTCGCAGCGGACGGCGGCAGCAGCCGGCTAGTTTGCGGTCCCTGAAATGACCCTTGGTACGGATGGCAGTCCCAGGCTCTGCGGGACCTGGGGCCGCGCCCGCACACGCCGGCCGAGAATTGCCCCGGTGCCTCCTGCCTTCCGCGTGGGACGGTGCAGTGGGGACCCGGGGTCTTGCCCTTGCCCCGCTTCTTCCCGGGTCAGCGTCCCTGAAGCTGGCCGCGGGCGGGAGGAGGAAACAGTCATACCATCAGGGTCAGCCCTCGGAGAACGTGAACTTTTCTAGAACTTATTCTTAGGGGCTTCAGAAAAGAAACAGGACAAACACAACCACACCTAAAAACGGTCTCGGAAGCACATGTTTAGAATGCCTTCATTATTATTTTATATGTCTTGGGACAGAAAAAGGGACTTGTCCTCTCTCCTATTCTTTTACCTAGTGAGCCGAGTAATTTCCTTCCAGTTCTGGGGTTGCAGTTACCTTTCTGCAGGCTCCCTTCCTGTGCCGGGTGTGATAACGGTCCCTCTGTTTGTGTATATTTGTGTAGACCGTTTACAAAGCACTTTTAACGTTTATTTACTTTTCTCTTTCCGACAAACTTGTAAGGTGGATTGTATTATTCTAGAATCCAGACTAACAGAGGAGTCGTAGGGCAATTTAGTGATTTCCTTACGTGGAAGAACTGGCTTTCTGACACCAAATGTAGTAGTCCTCCCCACTCAGTTAAAACTGGAAGGCGTAGCCACACCAACTGTGTGACCCAAGGCAAGTCATTATTGGTCCTGGGTCTCCTCATCTTCAAATAGGAGATCATGGTGCCATCTCTGGTTTACTAAAATAATGCTGTCAAAATCATACTCAAATAGAAAAGGTGTCATGCTTAGTTGCTGATTTTTAGCCCTTTAATATAGTTTTGCATTGGGAGTAAGAGAAGCAGGGTCTCCTCGTTCCCCCTTAAGGTTAAACCCATTTACACACTCATCAGTAACTTTTGTTTCTGCAATTCTGACCTAATAGGGAATCCAGCCCCCCACTCCCAAGAATGGGAAAATGTCCACAAAAATGTACCACAGTGACAGAAATAACATTTTTCCAAGGGTGTATCATTCTGGATGATATTGTTTGTCCTCAGATAACACTGGAAAGATGGGCTGACCCAGAAGGAGCTTTCTGACATTTCTTCTTGAGGGGTAACAAGGTTTTTTAAGTTCCTGTGGCATTTATCAACCAAAGATGAAGTGGTTTAAAAGTGATAAAATGGTTTCCTCCATTCCCTACTTTTTAGGTAGGTTGTTCACGTGAATCTTTTTCCAGTAGTCTAAGTGTTCCCTTCCTGCATAAGTATATGTCCAGATGGTGAGGATCCTCATTAGGATCCGGAAACATTTCAGTTGGAACTTTTTTCAAAGTTTTGTTTTTTTAGTACCAGGGATTGAACCTAGGGGCACTTAACCACTGAGCCACATGCCTACCTTGTTTTGTATGTTTTATTTTGATACAGGATCTCACTGAATTGCTGAGGCTGGCTTTGAACTTATGGTCCTCCTGCCTCAGTCTCCTGAGCTGGTGGGATTACAGATGCACCATGGTGCCTGCACGAAGTTTTGTTTTCTATACCTTAGTGACTCAGTGGTTTGAATCCGGCATTGAATTTGTTACTCTTAAATTTGATTTGGAAGATAGCTTGTAGTGATAACTAGATTTTATATTAGCTGGCAGGGGGTGGAAAGGATCTGTGTAAGGCATTTTTTTTTTTTTTTTTTAAGTGTGGTCATGCTGTGTTACCCTGGCCTGGAACTCCTGGTCTTAAGTGATCCTCCTACTTACCTGGGATTATAGGCAACAGCTACTATGCCCTGTTTAGGATTTGGTGTTTTTTTTTTTTTTTGTTTTTTTTAGAGAGAGAATTTTAATATTTATTTTTTAGTTTTCGGCGGACACAACGTCTTTGTTTGTATGTGGTGCTGAGGATCAAACCCTGGCCGCACGCATGCCAGATGAGCGCGCTACCGCTTGAGCCACATCCCCGGCCCCGGATTTGGTGTTTTAATATTCACATTTCCACAGTGTCAAACCAGGTCTGTTGCTAAACAGATCACAAACTAATCATTAATGTATTCCCTCTCACAGGTGACAGAGTTAGTTCTTGATAATTGCCTGTGTGTCAATGGGGAAATTGAAGGCCTGAATGATACTTTTAAAGAACTAGAGTTTCTGAGTATGGCTAATGTGGAATTAAGTTCATTGGCCCAACTTCCCAGTTTAAACAAACTTCGAAAGGTAAGTCAAGATTAATGTACAAGCAGAATGATTTCAGTGCCAAGGGTTATTATGTCTAGTCCTTTGCCAAATGAAATGACTATTCTGCCTGTTAGTGAGAAAATTTTGTTTCTAGAGATAGGAAAAATGGTTTGTTGAATCATCTCTAAAGCTGCTTTTAGAAATTTGAATTTGTTAGTGGGATTACTTTATGACACAAATTTGGATTTTCTTTCTTTTTTTTTTTTCTTATAAAATTCTGTTTGGTTGTAAATGGATTCAATTCCTTTATTCAGTTTAATTTATGTGGTGCTGAGGATCAAACCCTGTGCCTCATACATGCCAGGCAAGCACTCTACCACTGAGCCACAAGCCCAGTTCCTTCTTTTTTTTTTTTTGGTACTGGGGATTGAACCCAGGTTCGCTTAACCACTGAGCCACATCTTTCTTATATTTTATCTAGAGATGGGGTCTCACTGAATTGCTTAGAGCCTCCCTCAGATGCTGAGGGTGGCTTTGAACTCCTAATCCCTCTGCTTCAGTCGCCCCAGCCACTGGGATTATAGGTATTCACCACCATGCTTGGCATGAATTTGAATTTAACATCTACCAAATATTTTTCTTTGAATCATGAAATCCAATTGTAATACAACCTAAACCAAAGCTGAATTAGGAGCTCATCATATAGCGTTCTCATATGTCATTTAACAGGCACAAATGGGAATTTGAAAATTAATGATGATAAATGCACCCCCCCCCCCCCTTTGGGATACTTTTTTTTTTTTGCTGGTGATAGAACTTACTTAAATTGGTATGCTTTTAAAATCTTAGGTCCATCCTAAGCCTTCATCTTTCCTTGTTTCTCCCCATGTTGAATATATAGTTGGAACTTAGTGACAATATAATTTCTGGAGGCTTGGAAGTCCTGGCAGAAAAATGTCCAAATCTTACCTACCTCAATCTGAGTGGAAACAAAATCAAAGATCTCAGTACGGTAGAAGCTCTGGTAAGTGGAAAGGTTTTATCACTGGACTTTCTTTTTTTGTTGTTGCTGTTAAATTTTCTCAGATTAGTTTGTCTTTTACCTTAGTTATTTTTGTTTAATGCAAAACTTCTGAATTTGTTCTCTCTCTCACTCCCCCCCTTCCCCCCATGTTGGGGATTTAACCCAGGGGCACATCTCTACTGAGCCATATCCCCAACCCTTTTTATTTATTTATTTAAAATTAAAAAAATAATAATTTTTTTGATACTTTTGAACCTAGGGGCACTTAACCACTGAGCCACCTTCATAGTTCTTATATTTTGAGCCAGGGTCTTGTTAAGTTGCTGAGATTGGCCTTGAAGAAGTTGCCATCCTTCTCTCTCAGTCTCCAAGTTCCCAGATGAAATTTTTTTTTTTTTTTTGTACCAGGGATTGAACCCAGGGGTGCTTACCACTGAGCCCATTGCTAGCCCTATTTTTATTTTTTATTTTATATAGAGATAGGGTCTTGCTGAGTTGCTTATGCCTCACTGAGTTGCTGAGGCTGGCTTTGAACTTGAGATCTTCCTGCCTTAGCCTCCCAAGCTGTTGGGATTCTAGGTGTGTGCCACTGCTCCCAGCCCCAGATGAAATTTTTAATTTGTTCTTTTTAGACAAACAAGGTAGTACCCAAAAGAATTTTTAAGTCAGTGAAAAGCTATATTTATTATTTCATCATCAGCTTCAAGATTTGACTATCTGGTTTCAAAATTTTCATTATTTTAAGTTCTATTGCTTTTCATTCCTTCTTGATAATTTTTTGAGTTACTTTAAGTGTCCCCTAGTTTTCTGGTATGTGGGAAGGAAAAGACTATTTAGTAAAACTCTGAATATTGTTGCTCTGATTTTTAAAAAGATTGGGAGGTCATTGAAAATATAGCTGTATTTTTTTTTTTCTTTTTTTTATGGGTACTGGGGATTGAACCCAGGGGTGCTTTACCACTAAGCATATCCTCAGCCCTTTATTTTAAAAATATTTTTATTTTGAGACAGATTCTCACTAAGTTGCATAGGCCTTTGCTCAGTTGCTGAGGCTGGCCTTGATCCTACCGTTGATCCTCATGTTTCAGTCTCCCAAGTCTTTGGGATTACAGGTGTGTACCACTGTGCCTACTTTGTGTGATTTTTTTTGTTACTGGGAATTGAACCCAGTGTCACTTAACCACTTAGCTATACTCCAACCCTTTTTAAAGGTATTTTTATTTACTTTTTTTATTTTGAGACAAGGTTTTACTAAGTTGCTGAGGGTTTTATTAAGTTGTGAGGCTGGCCTCAAACTTGTGATCCTCTTGCCTCAGCGTCTCTGGTCCTTGGGATTACAGTGTACACCATCATGCCTGGCCTATGTGGTTTTAAATTGATCATGTTATTGTTGTTGCCTGTGCACAGGTTTGGTCATCAAAAGTGTGTTGAGTGTCCACTAGAAATAAGGCACTCAGTTAAGATCCTGGAGGTAACAATAGTAGATCAAACAAAGTTTTGGAATTTATATGCCAGGGGCTAATTAAGAGAATTGGCTGTGTTTTATAAAATAACTCTTAGTTATAAAATTCTAACAATCCAAAAGTCATTCTCTCAATTTCAAATATATGTTTTCTGGATTGTGAATTAAGAAGAAATAATATGGTATATTAAATCTTGACTGAACATCTTTACTTTTCTAGCAAAATCTTAAAAATTTGAAAAGTCTTGACTTGTTTAACTGTGAGATCACAAATCTGGAAGATTACAGAGAAAGTATTTTTGAATTGCTGCAACAAATCACATACTTAGATGGATTTGATCAGGAGGATAATGAAGCACCTGACTCCGAAGAGGAGGATGATGAGGGTAATCACTCTAAATACTCATAAATGTGTCATAATTATAGTCTCCACTCTAGCCATGCAAATAAGATTGGACCTGGAGGTATAGGTGGAGGGAAAAAAACCCACATAAGCTATTGGTAAGACAAGAAAATTTTAAATCCCACAGCTCTAGCCTATATTTCTTCTTTCAGATTTCTAATAGCTTCAGGGAATTTAATGATTTCTGTAATATGAAGCTCTGTGACATTTTACATCCATATAAACTTGTGTAACTACTATCCAGTAATAGTGAAAACTTCTTAAATAGTATTTTTTAAAAAGGATCCATTTATAATAGCATTATTTATAATAGCCCCAAAGTAGAGACAACTCAGGTATCTGTCAACTGATAAATAGGTTAAAAACATGTGATATATCCATACAATATAATATTATTTCACCATGGAAGTGAATGAAGTACTGATACATGTAAAAGTGAATCTTGAAGACAGTCTGCTAAGTGAAAGACATCATACAGAAAAGGCCATGTTGTTTGGTTTCATATATACCAAAGGCCCAGAATAGGCACATCCAATAGAAATAGAAAGTAGATTATTGGGGTGAGATTTAGGGGATGGGAACTGATAATAGGTATGGTTCTTCTTTTTGAAGTGGTGAAAAATATCCTAGAATTAGATTGTGAATATACATTTTTAGATGAATATAAGACTAAAAGATGAGGTGACAGAATAGCCGTTGTTAGTAATAGGACGATATTTATTTTTGGGTCAAAGTTTTCACTATTAAAATAATTTCTTTTTTATACTGGGGATCAAACCCAGGGGTACTTTACTACCTTTTTAATTTTTATTTTGAGTCAGGGTCTCACTAAGCTGCTTCAGGATCTTGCTAGGTTGCTGAGGCTGGCTTTGAATTTGGAATCCTCCTGCCTCAGCCTTGGAAGTAGCTGGGATTACAGGCATGTGCCACTGGCCCAGCAAAGTAAATTTGTTTTGGATAAATAATGTTATAAAATGTTGGAATGAATGATGAACACGCAGGTTTTGAAGTGTCCACGAAGTAAAACCAACTTCAATGCACATTGAATAAATACCAGTATTTAGAAACCATTCTCAAGCAATAAATATTTGATGTTTTAAAATGGTACTCTTAAATACAAAAAAGGGCTGGGGATGTGGCTCAGTGGTTGAGTGCCTCTGAGTTCAGTCCCCATCCCGTGCTCCCCAAAAATGGTAATCTTAAAAGAAAAAAGTCACCATGAAATACTTTTCCACTGGTTGGCTTAAGAGTTTAAAGTGATTGGGAAAGGGTGAAAAGGATGAACGTTACTAGAAGGAAACATTTGTCCAGACATTTGCTCATCTTAAAAACAACACACACACACACACACACACACACACACATAAATGTACACGTGTAAAATATATACATATATATTTAAAATGTTTTTTAGTTGTAGATGGACACAATACCTTTATTTATTTGTTTTTGTGTGATGCTGAGAATCAAACCCAGTGTCTCACATGAATTAGGGAAGTGCTCTACTACTAAGCCCCAGCCCCACATATATATTTTTAAATATTTTTAAAGATGGAGATGAAGATGATGGAGATGAAGAGGAAGATGAAGCTGGTCCACCTGAAGGATATGAGGAAGAGGAGGAAGATGATGATGAGGAGGATGAAGATGAAGCAGGGTCAGAATTGGGAGAGGGAGAAGAAGAAGTGGGCCTTTCTTACTTGATGAAAGAAGAAATTCAGGTGAATAAATAAATTCAGGTGAAAAAATTAAAAATTAATTACTTAGGCATAGGGCTAAGTACTATAAAAAGTGAGTTGGAGAAATCTGAGAGTTGTTTCCTAACTTGTGAATGTGTATGTGTCTGTCTGCTTTTTTTCCCCATTGTGGTCTATCCCATACTACATCTAGATAAGCATAAACACCTATTGATTATAAATCCCAGATATCTTTCAAATCCACTCTGCTTTCAGTGGTATGGTATGGTAGAAACATTTTATAGGTGTTTCTAGCCTTAGTTTCTGCATTTATAAAAGTGAGATTATACCAACCTCATAGGATTGTTTTAAGGATTTGACAAGATAATGTAGGTATCTAGTCCCTGGCACATTGTAGGTACATTGTAGAATGTACCTACAATTATTTCTTCCCTCCAATTATTTCTTGCTTGATACTCTGAATATAGCATTACTACTTAGAAATATCCCCTGCAGTGCTGCCTGGGTCGTCTCATTTGCAAATGTGATCCTGTCACTAGCCTTCTGGAAACTCTTAATGTCTTTCCTATTGCCACCCAAAGATACAAACCCTGCATTGTCTGTTTGGCTTCTGTTTCCTTCCCTAATTTCATCTCCCTCAGTACCAAGTTAAATTATCACACTAAACTATCCCTTGCCTTTATGTATGTGTATTAATTGTTTAGTTTATCTGAAATGACTTCCTACCCAGGTCCCTGATGGACTTCATTTTTGTTTGTGCTAATTAAACATAAATATAAGTGAAGCATGTAAAAAGCACTAATTTTATGAATAGCTCCGTGAAATTTCACATATATATTTGCTTGTGTAATAGCCACCCCAGTCATGCCTTGTAAACTTTTATCCTTAAACTCAACTCTGGTGCTAACCTTAATTTTGAAGTTTTCTATATTTTTTCTTAGAAAATCATTCCTTCCTTTGTTATCTTTAAACCTTGATTAGGCTTCTATTGTCTGTAGATAGTTTTTTTAAAAAACGTATTTGGGTACTTTCTGTGCAGCTGTGAGCTCTTAAAGGGTGGGGAATACCTTTCATCTTTGCACCTCAGCATTTATTACCTCGAGTGGCACAAAGAATGAATGATCTTGGCTCTTGGGAGTTTAGTGAAGTTCCTTTTTCCTAATGTTAAATTGAGGTTTCTTTCATAACTTTAAATAATTTTTCATTATTTTAGGGGATGTAGCTCAGTGTTTAAGTGCCTGCCTAGCATTCATGAGGCCCTGGGTTTGATCCCCACAGTGGTGGTGTGGGGAGGAAGAATTCTTATTTAGACTAAATATTATTTGTTCTCCTAATTACTTTTACATCAAGCAGGTCGATAATATCTGGTCAGTGATTATTTTTTTCTGATACCATTTTAAATATGAAACTACTGTGGAAAATAAAGATGTATATTTGGTTCAGGCCCTAGTGAGTTAGGAACTATATAATAACGAAGAATAGAACCTTAAATATTTTAAATCTTCACAGAATATTTTGAATATTTATTTTCAGTCTGTTCGGTTTACACCAACATACAGCTTAAATGTTTTTCCCATAAATTTTTATTTATTTAATAAAATAAGTGTCTTGTTCGTTAACATTTGACCTTTTATTTTTTGTGCCAATAATTCCTCCTTAATTCTAAGTAGTATTAAGTCATTTAAAAATTACTTTCAACTAACTGCAAATGTTAGCTTTATCATTCCATTGAGTATTGTGAAATACTAACCCCAAATGACATGGCCACATAAAGAATAAAAAATTCTGTGATAATACATATAACCTTAAGTCACTGTAGGAGTAGCAGGGACCAGAAGGAGTTTTTGTTCCTGAGATAATCTGAATGTTGAAAATTTAGTCTTGTTTTTATTTTATTTTTATTGTTTTTATTTATTTTTATTTGCTATTGGGGATTAAGTCCAGAAGCACTTTACCACTGAGCGATATCCCCAGCCCTTTTTATTTTTTATTTTGATACAGGGTCTCATTAAATTGCTGAGGTTGGCCTTGAACTTGTAATCCTCCTGCCTCAACCATAGGAGTCACTGGAGTTATAGGCATGTGCAACCAGGCCTGGTCTGATGTCTTGGTTTTAGAAGCTAAGTGCCAGGGAATGCTTTAGAGACGATTGAGATTTAAAAAGAAATTAGAAGGAAAGAGAGTGCATATTCAATTAACTTTTTAAAAAATTTTTTATTTTATTTATTTTTATATGGTCCTGAGGATCGAACCTAGTGCCTCACATGTGCAAGGCAAGTGCTCTACCACTAAGCCACAACCTCAGCCCATTCAATTAACTTTTTATTTGATTTTTAAAAAAATTTCTTCCTATTTCACTGTTCTTCAGAGGCAAGGAATTAATATGTGTAAAGAAGGACTTTATGTGTGTGTAATATAAATCATTAAAAATGGAGATGAGGATGCTTGGGTGTGGTGGCGCATACTTATAACCAGAGGCTCAGTAGTCTGAGGCAGGGAGGATCGCGAGTTCAAAGCCAGCCTTATCAACTATGAGGTGCTAAGCAACTCAGTGAGAACCTGTCTCTAAATAAAACACAAAATAGGACTGGGGATGTGGTTCAGTGCTCAAGTTCCCCTGAGTTCAATCCCTGGTACAAAAAAAATAAAATAAAATTTTAAAAAAGTGGAGATGAGGGCTGGGGTTGTGGCTCATTGGTAGAGAGCTTGCTTAGCGTGTGCGAGGCACTCAGCACCACATATAAATAAAAGAAAAGGTCTGTTGACAACTTTAAAATTTATTTTAAAAAACGGAGGTGAGGTAAGACCCTCAATAACAGTTACATCGTATCTCAAAAAATAAAAAAAGGACTGGGGATGTAGCTCAGTGATAAAGAACCCCTACGTTTAATCCCATACCCGCCCCCCACCCCTCCACCCCACCCAAAAAAAAGAAGTTGAGAGCTTTGGGAGGATTGGGAATCGCGGTGTCCTTGTATTACTCATCGACAAATGAGGAAACATTTCCCACTAATGAGAAGACTGTAGTCTCTACTGAACAAATTTCTGGCAAAGTGAGTTTTTTTGGGTCAGGTCGGGGGGGTTGGGTACTGGGGATTTAACCCAGGGGCAGTCAAGCCCTGAACCACATTTTATTTTTTATTATTTTATTTTTAAGTTTTTAAAAAATATGTATATTTTTTAGTTGTAGGTGGACATATACCTTTATTTTATTTTTACGTGGTGCTAAGGATTAAACTCAGTGCCTCATACATGTATGCTAGGTGAGTGCTTTACCACTGAGCCACAACCCTAGCCCCTTTATTTTTTATTTTGAGACAGGTTCTCACTAAGTTGCTTAGGGCCTAAAAAAAAATTGCTGAGGCTGGCCTAAACCTTGCAGTCTCCCTGCCTCCACCACCCAGGTCACTAGGATTATAGGTGTGCGCCATCACGGTGACCTCAAAAGCTGAGTTTTTATTGATAGTATCTAAAAGATGATTTTTAAAAAGGCCTAGAACATGAATCAATTAATTTGAAACAAAATTCAGAGAAAGAGCTCTTTTAGACTTGGACTTTTCTAAATCATCAAGGAATAAGTGTGATTAGTAGTTTATATTTTTTTGAAAATTATAGCTATATATCCTCTATGTTGGGGCTAGGATTCAGATCATTCTTAACTTGATCTGTAAAATAAAAGGTCTCATTTTAAAAAGAGTCAAAAGTTGTGCTGTCCTACCTGTGCTAGTAGGTAGATGTGGCTATTTAAATTAATTAAAATTAACTAAAACTAAAAATTAAATTCCTCATTTGCACTGGTTACATTTCAGGTGCTCGGTAGTCATGTGTGGCTGGTGGTTATTGTATTGCACAACACAGATATGGTACATTTCCATTGTTGCAGAAAGTTCTTTTGAACAGTGGTGTCTAAAGCATAACTTATTTTTATAAAGAACTAGATACTTAGTTGGATTTTAAAAAAAGATATAAATAAGGAAGAAGTTGTGGTTATCAAAACACAGGGTAACTAAAGTTTCTTTGCCTTTGTTGGGATATACTCAATAGTGAAAAATATGTTATGGTTTATTTATACTCAAACTGAATATTTGAATTTCAAGGATGAAGAAGATGATGATGATTATGTAGAAGAAGGGGAAGAAGAGGAGGAAGAGGGTGAGTTACATTAGCCAGAAACAAATTCTAGAATTAAAAATATTTTTTCATGAACTTTAATAAATGAGTCTGTAATACAAATTGTCACTGATCCTTTTGATTTTGCTGTTTATCATAGAGTGCCTTGAAGTTACAAAAGTTTTTTAAAGAATAAATTTCTCAAGGCATTCCTTAATTCCATTAAAGGGATAGCTCATAACATGTATTTTAAAATAAAAAACGAAGAGATAGGGGAGCTACCCTGAACTCAATTTATTACCTTTTTAAGGTCTCTCATTTTGAAGAGGGAAGCCTTACCTGTAAGAAAGGAGAGGAACAGTTGAACTCAATATAATATTCTTTAAGATCTGATATCCAGGGTAGGGGGACGCGACTTGCTCTTTAGTATTCTTTACCTATAGGTCTTTTTAAAAATTCACTAACAGGGGCTGGCGATGTGGCTCAAGCGGTAGTGCATTCGCCTGGCATGTGTGCGGCCCGAGTTTGATCCTCAGCACCACATACAAACAAAGATGTCGTGTCCGCCGAGAACTGAAAAATAAATATTAAAAAATTCTCTCTCTCAAAAAAAAAAATTTGCTAACAGTTTCTTCAATATGAAGCCTAGTTTCTTCATCTGTACTTCATGACTTGGCCACAAGGGTGCATAGCAAGCTATCATTATTTGTGCATTTTTTAGTCTGTTAAGTCTGTTTATACACTGAAATAAAAAGAAATTTAAGACTGGAAACTTAATATATATACATATACATATATATGTATATATATATATAAATGTATATATTTTGTCAACTTTTCACTAAGTGTCAAAACTTTGTAACTTAACAAATACTCATTTGTTGAAATTAAAGTTTTTTACACTTTTCCTTCCATTCTTCTTTTAGAAGAAGAAGGTCTCCGGGGGGAGAAGAGGAAACGAGATGCTGAAGATGATGGAGAGGAAGAAGATGACTAGATCATTCTAAGACCAGATTCCCCAGCATTCCTGGGTGTGCAATAGAGTGATCACATCTTTGTTTTTTCATGTACGATAGCTATCCCTACAGAAGATAATGTGTAACTTTTTATAGAAAAGTGTGGTTTTACTATTTTTGCCTTATCATTCCAGTTAAGATTTACTAGTCTGTTAATGATCATATTGTATGTAGAGAAAAAATTTCATTGACACTTCCCCCTTAAGACATTCTCTAGCAATTATATTTAGAAGCTTAATTTTTCTAATTCAAATTCAAGTTCATTGTATTAGTAATTTTTAGTCTGTAATTAAAACATGATTGCTTTTACACAGGTGAAGTTTGGTGCATTTCATTCATAAGATTTTAAAGTTATTTATAAATTAACTGAAATTACAGTCATCTGTAATATGAAATGACAGTAGTCTCTTGAATAAGTTGATTATTATTATTATTATTTTTTTTTTAGAGATGATCCAGGGATCTTTATTTTGAAGGCATTGATTTTTTTTTTAAATAGCTAAAGATATTTGGGTGGTTTTTTTTGTCACATGAATTAAGTTGGAAAGTAGAAGCAGAATAATAAAGGTTCTATTCAGCAAATTATATAGTTTGTGGATTTGGGGGAGGTTCTAGACAGTAATATAATTCATGGATTTTGTGGTGATTGATAAGATTTTATTTTTGAAGGAAAAATTGCTTATACTAAGTGAGACACGCAGGTGAGCCCTCTCTTTAGGCTGCAGATCATGCCAATGGTTATTTATTTCGTTTTGTTTTAGGTGTGCATATTCTCATCAATTTCTTTATGATCACCTTCCCTTCTTGTTGACTCCCCTCTCTATCCCAAAAGGAAGCTGGGAACTTCTGGATACCCAGAAAACCTTTAGTCTTATACCTCAACCACCTTTTCAGATCTCTCTGGGTTTTAAACAGAGTGGAAGAAACTGAGAATTTTCTGCGATACAAATATTGTTATTGATACAATTTCAGGCAGCAAGCTCTGCTTATTGTAAATCTTTCTTGACTGACAATATGTAAGACCATATAAGTAGGAGGAAGAAAGTAAAGAAGCAGGGGAGGGGTTTTGAATTAGCATCAATGTTCATTGCCTGTTGATAATTAAGGAGACGTTTAAGTCAGTTTTTAAGTTGGCATTCCAAATTATTTGGATACCAACCCTGCGCAGTATTTATAATTTTTCTGAGTAGAACCTTTAGTTGTTCCTGTAGTTTTAAAGCATTACCAGATGTAGCATTTAATTGGAATATTGTAGGCAGTTGGAAAAATATTTGGGATTAAATATTAAAATTAAGACTTATTTTCAAGTGAATGTCCATTAAAATAGAAGAATATTTGGGATAAGTATGAGTGTGTGCCTACTTACATGGTTACTAAATAAAATATAACGAGTACACAGTACATCTCTGTTTTTGTCATGGAGGCTCCATGTTCAAGGTAACTGCTTTGTTCATCTTGACTATCTTAAAATTTTTTCTTTGTTTTGAATATTTGTAAGGTTTTTAAAAGTTAGTGTCAGTAAACTAATTGAAGCTATTCTTCTACTGGGATACATTTAAATTACTGAGTGTAGTACTGCTGCTGCTTTTTTTTTTAGTTTAAAATGTATGACTTGGCGTTTTAAAGGTTATTTGTGGAGAAACTAAAACAGTTGCACAACTGACTGAAATAAAACACTTGGAATAAATTTAGTAGGTGGATCAGAAAGTACAAAAGATTGACATTTTTTTCTCTTAATTTTTAACAATTGATATGCCCTGCTTTAGTCTCTAAGAATTCTCATTACATACTATGTCCAGATTATAAAATACTTATTTTTAAAATGAAATCTATATATTGACTTTCTTATCAATCATCTTATTGTGCAATCAAAATTAGAGTTCTTTGGTTTGAAAACAACACATAGTGAACCTCCAGATAACTTTTAAGAACTTATTTAGCTTTGTGGGTGGTATTTTCATGCAAATAAGTAAGGGGGGTTTTATATTTTGTAGAAGTTTGGGGTCCTATTTTAATGCTCTTTGTATTGCAGTATGTATATAGTGTGTTAAGTTCTTTAAGAATCTCTGTAAACGTTGAGGTTAATACTTTTGTGCAACTGTGTTTTTGAATAAAGCCATGACAGTGTTAAAAACAAATCAAAAAGCAGTACTCATGATCATTCTTTTATTGTTTCTGACTATTCCCTGTTTTTCCTGTGACTGCTGTAACTTAAGTTTTTGAAACGGAATTGCTTCAAATAAATTGAAGATTTGTTATAATGATTAGCTTCAGTGTATGATATTCACTTTTTCAGCAATACTGTTGGCAGCTTTGAAGATCTTTTTAAAAACAAATGAAAGTTTCCTCATTCAAATTTGGATGTGATAAATAGTTTAACCTATCATCTTTCTTATTAACTTTTTTCCAAGAAGCAGGAAAAAATTCTTTTTTTTTTTTTTTAATTTTTTATTGTTGGTTGTTCAAAACATTACATAGTTCTTGACATATCATATTTCACACTTTGATTCAAGTGGGTTATGAACTCCCATTTTTACCCCATATACAGATTGCAGAATCACATCAGTTACACATCCATTGATTTACATATTGCCATACTAGTGTCTGTTGTGTTCTGCTGCCTTTCCTATCCTCTACTATCCCCCCTCCCCTCAGGAAAAAATTCTTGATTCATTTAATTTTCCTTTTGGAGTTGCAATTGAACCTGTACTTTTATTGCCTGTAGTGGAAGTAACTATTACTATTATTACAGTTAAATTGATTATAAAATACTGTACATTGCCAGGTGTGGTGGTGCACTCCTGTAATCCCAGCGCTTGGGAGGCTGAGACAGGATGATAGAGTTCAAAACCAGCCTCAGCAACAAAGGGAAGGCATTAAGCAACTTCATGAGACCCTGTCTCTAAATAAAATACAAAATAGGGATGGGGATGTGGCTCAGTGGTTTGAGTGCTCCTTAGTTCAATCTCAACAACTGTACATTAATAGTTTTCCTAGGACTGGGGATATAGCTCAATGGTAGAGTGCTTGTCTGCATGCACAAAGCCCTGGATTCAACCCCCAACACCGTGTGTGCACATGCACACACAAACACAGTTTTCTAATATGAGCCCATCATTTCCATCTGTACTCTGTAACGTGTAACTTCAAAATCTTTTGATGATATAAATAGATATAATTCTTACATGTTTAATTTTGAAAAAGTAGGTATTTCTCTGTACTCTGGGTTTTCCCCTGATAAGTGATTTTTAAAAGTTTCACTTGTGGAGAAGTCTGGGAAGTATGTTTTGTATAGTTAAGGCACAAGTATAATGCTAAGTAATGTTTTTACAATTGCTTTTTGGTTTTATGGTTAATATTGCAAACGTATTTTAATTATAGAATTCTTCCTGAGGGATGGAAAATACTGAAGAATTTTCAGCTGCAGGTATTTACTATGACTTTTGTTTATGTCTTCAAAAAATTCAAAGCCTTTACCCTCTTGGTTAAAGAAAATGGTAGAATCCCCACACAGTTTTTGGTGAGGTTGATAGGTAATGAGGCAATTCAGTGAGAGACTATGATTCAAAACACTTAAATATTGTTTATTCCTTGTTCTGTATTTTAAAGAGAGGCTTTGAAGCAGATATTTTTCTAGTTGCTGGAAATTTTTCCTGTTTATAGTATAGGGTGTAATGATACTCTGCAGCTGTAGCTAAAATAGCATTCTACTACTGGTGCCTTTTGCATATACTAATTAGCCTAAGATCTGAGAACCCTACCTTACCTTGAGACAGTTATTTGGGTTATTAGTCTATTTGAACAGCCAGTCTTAACTGGAAGGACAAAAGATTATACCACAAGTGGAAATTACAAAATGAACTGATCTCAGGAGCATCTTTAAAAAGACTACATAATGGCAGGGGTGGGGGTGGGAGAGACTACATATTGATAAAGTAGTTTTATGTCATAGGAGTGTAGACACTTTGGTAAAACCCTGAAGTAAGATTACTTCATAATAACCCTGATTAAGAAAGACTCAGAAGTAGGTATGACTTTGAATTTCATTTATATTTACAAATAATTTAACATTTTATGAGGCATCATTTGAATTTGGCTACTTAAAAAACAACAGACACATTCACACTAATGCTTAATAATGATACATGCTACACACAACACTGATGAAAACAATCTATTCTAACTTCACGAAATGATGAGCCAGGCTCCCTTGGGCAGGCCTGTAATCCCATTCCTGGGTTCAATCCTCAATAACATGCATGCAAAAATAAATAAATAAATTACATTCAATAAACTTGCCTATTTTCTCTGATTCTCCTATTAAATACCTCACACCATCTTTCAGGATGAGGTCCATGATCTCCGCCCTTCACTGGGACTTTCCCTGATTAGGCTTATTCTGCAGCCCCAGAATTGGCTCACAGGCTATACCCGTTTCTCCATGTGAAGGGAATTTCTCCCAGAAGGATTTTTTTTTACCTTTTTTTTTTTTTTGGTACCAGGGATTGAAACCAGGGGCGCTTAACTACTGAAGTACATCCCAGCCCCACACCTTTAATTTATTTTTTATTTTTTTTAGTTGCAGATGGACACAATCTTTGTTTACTAATTTATTTTTATGTGGTGCTGAGGATCCAAACCAGTGCCTCGCAGTGCCAGACAAGCACTCTACCAGTGAGCCACGTCCCCAGCCCTTTTTTGTATTTTGTTTAGAGACAGGGTCTCACTGAGTTGCTTAGTGCACTGATAAATTGCTGAGGCTGGCTTTTTTTTTTTTTTTTTTTTTTTTTTTAAATTTTAATATTTATTTTTTAGTTTTTGGCGGACACAACATCTTTGTTTTTTGTATGTGGTGCTGAGGATCGAACCCGGGCCGCACGCATGCCAGGTGAGCGCACTATCGCTTGAGCCACATCCCCAGCCCCTGAGGCTGGCTTTGAACTTGGAATCCTCCTGCCTCAGCCTCCCCAGCCGCCGGGTCCAGGCGGGGTGGCGCCGGCATTTCTTAGGGCAGTGTAGTGCTTGACGTCATTCATGCGGGGAGCTGTGACCAGTCGGTGGGGCGGTATTAGAATCTATACTAGAAGGAACTGGAGTTAAAGCAACTGAGAACCGAGACCTCAGCCGGGAGGCTGGGCCAGAGCCAGCCCCAGGCCTCCCCTCCACGTGCTCGAGCTGGGGGAAACCCTGAAAGGCCGCGCCCACCACGACCCTCCGGGTCCAATGGCCACGTTAAGTCATCACCCTTGAGGGTTTGGGCGGTGGGGTTACTGGGGATTGACCCCGGGGCGCTGTGCCTCGGAGCCACATCCTTTTAATGTTGGGGACGGGGTCCTGCTTAGTGGCCGAGGCTGGCCTCGACCTCGCAGCCCTGCCTCCTAGCAGCCGCGGCAGGGTCGGCCGAGCGGGGTTCTTTTCCGGAGGCTGGAATGAAAGCCACCAGGACAACTGATCGGAGGTCGGCGCACGGACCAAGCTCGGTCGCATCCTGGGGACACGTACCTCGACTCTCCCTGCCCTGCCCCAGCCTCACCCCGAGATGGGTGGCAGGCTCTTTTTCTGGGTGCTGTTTTACCACGGGGCGCTCTCCCGCGACTCCGGGATCGCCGGGGTAGAAAGGACGCGCGATCCGCCGAGACCGAGCAGGCCCCTCGGCCCTGAAGGAACTAACGGGCGCCTCCGGTTCCACTCCGGGGACACCGAGCGAGAACCACCGGGTCCTCCGAGTCGAGAACAGAACCGAGAAGTCAGAAACGGACACACCGAGTCAGGGCTCCGCAAGGACCGGGGCTACCCGAATTGCTCCACAAGGGCTTTTCCCAGAACCTCTCGGATTGGGCCCCAAATGCCGCAATCCCGGTCACGTGACGTCTCCCCGCCCGCCCTCTTCTCCAGAGACCGAGGGCCGGGCGCGTACCGCCACACCTAAGCGCAGGCCTGCGCATGCGCGGAGCTGGCGCGACGGACCCCGGAACTTCCGGAGCCGAGGCCTGGGGCAAGCGCTTTGGCTCCGTCTGGGGTTTCCCGCTTCCTGCGCCGCGGACTGGAACTCGGCCGTTAGCTCTGTGCGACTTTCCTCTTCTTTACCGCCTTTTACAATTTTCAACTCTTGCTTAAAGATTAACAGAGCCTGTGTTTTCTAATTTAATTTCAAAACCTGAATTACCCTCAATCCCACATTCGTGAACCTCCCCAGCTGCTCTGCAGTTACCAACGTTGGTGGAAATGAGGGCTAACTAACTAACCTTACCCTTACCCCAACCTCTAAGTGCCGCGTTTGGAGCTGAGGCTACCCCGTCTGTCCCTCTTGTTTGTGCTGCATCTGGTTCAAGTTGACACTTGGGTCCACTTGGCCTTGGAACGTGGCCTCTTCTCCCCAGGAGCTAGCTTACCGTCCCACGTCGTACCTGTTTTTATTTTCCCTGTCTTAAAGTCAGAACTGCTGATGTGATTAGTCAAGTTGTACCTACAGACGAATGAATTCTGGAAAATAATACACAGTTCACATGTAAAATAATAAAAGTAGCAATGTTTGTAAAACTGCCAAAGGACCCGTACCTGTTTCTATAGAATTAGCAACTGTAAATGTTTAATATAAGTAAAACTAATACCAATAATTTCTTAGGCATTTTTAGTATCTTTTACAAAACAGCCACAAAATTGGGTAAAATGAAGACCACCTACTTCACTTGACAATTAAGAGATGAGAGTATATTTGAATTATATTTGTTTATTTTGGTTCTGGGGATTTAATCCAGGGGCAATTTGCCCTGTCCCCAGCACCGCCCCTCTTATTTTTTACTTTGAGACAGGATCTCAATAAATTGATGAGGCTGGCCTTGAACTTGCACTCCTACCCCAGCCTACCAAATCCCTGAGATCACAAACTTGCACCACTGCCGCAGCCCGGCTGGCTGGGCAAAATAAGGGGGGGGGGGGTGACGAACAACTTGTGTAGATTGATACAGCAGGAGTGGAAGCCGTTTATTGCAGGACAGGAGCGGTATTTATACATTCCACACAGCTTATCTAATCACTAGATACAGCAGTCAACCAATAAGGAATCTCCACACTTAATGGCTTGCTTTTGTTACTTCTCAAACCACTCCCTCTGGCATTTTGCCAGGCATCATCCAGACTTGTTTACAACTCTTCCCCTGGCAAAATGCCAGGAGCCATCCTGACTTGTTTACAGACTCTAACACACCACCATACCTGGCTATACCTGGATTTGAGAAGTCAAAGTTTCCTGTTTCCTGGCGTGGGG